AAGGTATATAAATTTCTACAACTTTTAAATGAATCTATTTTTAAAATGGCAAAATCAAAAAAAAATATGAGCGCAATCTCCCCAACCACTCTTTTAATTTATTTCCTGACCATATTTTTGAGATTTCTGCATCCCCTCCCTATATTTTGAGAACCAAGAATTCAAATCCGTTGAAAAAATTTTATGTTTGTTCAGAGAAAGTACATTTTGCGTAACTTAAAATATTGCCTACACAAATTAATTTGCATAATTAAATGTACTCGAACCTATTAAGATTGAGTGTTTGTAAGCGAAAATCTGATCATAAAATCAAAAATAATTCAGAGCGCCTCTCCCTCTTTGTTTTTGCGCTCTCTCTGTATTTTTTCAGTCATATGTGCTCATTACAAAAAAATTATAAAGACAGATTTTAACCCACTCTTAAATTAAAGAACAAATAGCACAAATTTGCGAACGACAACAATAAGATACAGCCAGCGTAACGGCGGAATTCTAGCCAGCAATCTCCACGATTTAATCACTTTATAATCTATCAAATAAAATCGAAAGCTGTGAATAAATTAATTAACATCCTGACAATTTTAATTAATGTAGAACATATATTCCAAAATAATTTGAAAGGAGTTGACTTCAATTCTCGCGATTAACCAATTTTTCTGAAAGTATTTAATCTCCTCGCACTTAAAAATATGTTGTGTGGAATTATTTTGGAGACTTTTAAATTCTTAATTTTACATCCGTTGCCTCATCCAAACTTTTTAAAACGATATATAAATACCATTTCCGCATGACTTTTTCTTATGTGAAAAATCAGGTTTTTAAAGCGTCTCTAGATAAATAACTGCAATTTAGTTGTTTTCTTAACCAAATTCACTTTCAACGCTAAGCCTAAAATTGCTTCGAGAAAGTGGCTCCAAGAAACGAACTTAATCATTTCTTTTTTTCCCATCTTGACTACCACAAATAGAAGAACCTCTTATTTAGGTCGGATTATCCTCTCTATAATTACAAGCGGTGTTTACTATATTTTCTCCTGACGTGTGCGGAAAATAGAAAGCCGTTAGGGCTTTGTAGTTTCTTTCCTTTTTTTTTAGTATTAAAAAGAAGTAGTTTTAAGTTGTTATTAATTTTAGTTAATTCATTATACTTTATAAATTCGGAGTGGCTTATTGCATTTTAATGCTGACTGTTGCAATTGGGTACTTGCATTTCAAGGAAACAAAGATCATGGATACCCACACATGTCACTTATGACATCAGCCCCAGCTGATCGTTTATATACAAAATGGCGCGTTAATTTGGGCTAAGTTTTTCTTCATAAGTTAGAATATTAATTAACGTGAAGTTAATTAAATATAGGCCATAGTATCTCACATCGAATTCGTTGAAATATGATTACTTCTCGTCTACATCTTTTACTTAACTGAAATTTATTATTTGTTTCTGCACTTTATTGTAACGGTGATATGCTTTTGTTTTGTGCACCTAGCAGCTTCAGTGCATAATTAGTTTATGCTCTACATGGCTTCGTGTCTGTCTTTGTGTTAAGTAGGATACATAGAATGAAAGAATTGAAATCTTTGTGAAAGAATACAGAATGTGTCACTTAAGAGAATTGATTCTTGATGGGCTTGGTTTACTCGAAATAGAATGGATAGAACAGTTGCTATTGTTAACAAATGCCACGTTTCAACAAGCAATAAGGATCGAGATACCCGCACTATGACACTTGCAGGTAGGCCAATCAAATGGATTACAGGTGGTGCAGAGTAAAACTCTCTACTTATGGCGACACTCTACTTGCTTTCAGTATTAGCGCATGTATAGTCATAGGAGAAAGAAGGGCGTTAGTTTCTGTCTTTATTTCCAAATGGAATAAAACTTTTAGGTTACGAAACTATATGGAACTGAAAACTGCATTAAATAGAATTCTAAAAGAAAGCATCGTGGAAATTTTTAAAAATATTTTTGACAATTAAATACGAAAAATATTATAGAAAGGGGAAAATATCGTACTACTACATTCCCATACAACTGAGGAGAGGAAAGGGGGGGAGGGTCAAAGGCATAGAACAGGTCTTCTCCCCAGATGGCGTATTCAAGCGTTACAATCCAGAATACTGATTATGATAGCAAAAATTATTTGCATTCAGCATACCTGCAAAACTTAGCTCTTTTTAGGAATGATTTTCAATGATGGCAGTTAAAAGAGAATTGGAAAAATCAATTGTATGAAAAACATTTATTAGATTCGAGTATTCATCATTTGGAGATGATGAATACTCTAGAGCCAGAGGGCGCTGCTGTAAAGAAATAAAATCTTTTTAGAACTGATCTTAAATCATACATCGAATCTTCTAACGGTAATTTATAATAGCATGTTAATGAAATTTACATAAAAAAATAATAAAGTCGTAAACATTATTATGTTTAGACATTCATCTGCAGAACTTAAAACAATAAGGGGAAAATTAAATTGTTTTCTTAACCCCATTACAAAAATAAAATTTTTAAAAAATGCATTTTTTCAACATATACATTTTTGAATGATAATTTATTTCTTCAAATTTTAAATAGCCTTTCATAAACTTAAAAAAAAAGAAATTTAAAAAAAATGAATAAAAAATTTTATAAAAATTCTTAAATATTTTCATCTTTCTGATGAAGAGACATTCTTGTTTATCAAGGTGTATTAATGACATAAATGTCAATGTTTTGTTCTGAAATTTTGCGGTCATTTATTTTTTAAAACTATTTTTTAACCTTTATAAAAAATATGTGAATTCATAAAGACACTTTCACATCACTACAAAATAGTGTGTTCTCTGCTTAGCTGACCAGCTTCCACAAAAAAACTGAGAAATTGATAGCAAATTTATAGAAATAAATTATTTCAGTGAGACGACATTAACAAGGAACTTCTGTTCTTAGAATATTAATTTAGAAAGCCAAAGCAGTGAGTTTTCAAATACCCCTACAGAAATTTTTATACCAGTTCTTAGTTTTTTGAGAACTAGTTTTAGTTCTACTTGGCATGGAATGGCTTAAAATGTTATGTCTGCACAAAGAAATCTTAATGCAAGAGTCGTAGTTGTCTAATTTTTTTAATAAAAAATATTTTTTATTTATGAGTTCTGGTTTTGAATTTTTTGTTCCGGTATTCCATAAATATTTGTGTCTGTTTAGATCAGCCAGTTTTCTACAATTACAAATGTGGACTTTAAAACAATTCATTTGAAGAACCAAAAGAATTGAGTTTTCGATCCAACATCTTCGATCATTATTTTAACTAATGATGCTTGAATAAGTCAACAGTATTAACTTCGGGGACCGTTCACTAATTATATATATGGTTATGCTGCATGATTTATGATTTCAAACTTGGAACTTAACTGTTTTATGAAAAATAAACTTAACAACTTTTTGCATTACCAAGTTCTTATGGTGATGATTTCTAGAGTAATATGCTTTTTTATTATTTTCTACAAATACATAGCGAAACTTGTAAGATGAAGTTTTGTAAATTCACTATTAATGATTCATATATTTCATCGGATTTTAAAAATGATTCATCCCAATCAATTATGCAGTAATCAGAATTTTTATGTGGTAAATTGAGGGATCATCTAAATTATTTTCATGCAAAATTGTTAAAATACATATTGACTGTATTTTTCTTTCCAGATTATTGAAATCCTAATTAAATATTATTTGACTACGTAAGTCTTGGATACAAGTGCAAATTAATAAATAAAATAATAAATGAATATTAATTAAAATTTATTTAATTATATTATTTTTATTATTATTATATTAATTATATTATTATAAAAATTAAATTATTTAATTATATATAATTTAATATTTATTTAATTATATACAATTTAATATTTATTTAATTATTATTTAATTATATTAATGTTATAACTTAAATAAATAAATATTAAATTAAATAAATGGAGTATGAGAGAGTATTTACTTTTTGATACAGGTTATTTTTTGCAACAGTACTTTGGAAAAATTCTATATTGTTCTTAAACTATTATGAGTTGTAATAAAAGTTACATTAAAAATTGTTAAGGCATTCTGTTCTGAATTAAGTAACTCTAGAATTGAAAATTATAATTTTTTTTATTCTTTCGTGATAAAATTTGCTTTTATTATACTTAAGTAGAGTTAACTTTTTAGGTCCGTTCTTTACCCTTTCTAAAGGCAGTTTACTAAATAGTAGTCTTTACCGAAAAATGTCCTGATATTTTTTTTCTGCACACTACTAGGCCAGGGAAAACGTTAAGGCGAATTCTAATATTTTTTCTTTTTATTTGGTAAAATAAATCTGAACTCTCTTGAAAAGAAACTAGAACTTAAATGGTTTTACTACTAATTTTTTTCCTTTTCTTTTTTGCCTTAATTTTAGCACCTGAATTATGTTAAAGTAACATAAATAGTTAAGATTTAGTTTGTAAATAAGTGGAACAAATATGTTCCAGTACCATGCAAAGAGTTAAATGTAAATGAAAGGAAGAAAAAAAAGTTATTTTTAAATTACCTCAGAATAAAAACTGTTTGAGGAAATAAAATTAAAAGCTTTATCGTGTCGTTTTAATGGAATATACTTGCATAGATTTCTACCCACATTTTAACAGATTTAAGATACACAAAAGTAACTCGCGTCAATTAGGAACAAGCCATTAAAAAACAGTTCCGTGATTCCCACCGTGCTGCAGATGTAAAATTCCGAAGTTTTTAATTATCAAATTTACAAACCAAAAAAGTAAATAAAAAAGCTGATACACAAATAAAATTCCACTCTAAATTGGTCTTCGATAATCCGGGAAATAGTAAACCGGTTCGGAAGAGGGAGAAACTCGAGAATATATGGAAAGTAAAATTTCGGTTTTGCAGAAGAGACCGGTTAGTTTTTATTTATTAGTTATTGCATTTTTTTTTTTTTTAATACACGGTCGGCGCTGATGTTCCCGTGACCTAGTGAGCGAGAGGAGACATGGAGAGAAGTTGTTTTCTCTGTTCGTCAACAGTAGTGTGTTCGTGCTTTCTAAGGATAGTTTCCTCTCTTCACTTCGGACATTACTTTACTCGTGGAACTCTTACAGGTCTGTGTCAAACGATTTTCGTTAATTATTTTCCTTGCTGTTATTCTTTACGATTCTTTTTATCGTTTGCAGTTTTCCTATATGTCAGTCAAGATATTTGTTATTGAACTGAATTTTTAATTTCTTCGTTTTTTCCCTTTGCTTATTCTTGTTCTAAAATTATGTTTTAATATTAAGCTTATTATTAATTTTGTAAGCATTTATACTTTTTAATCGAATTTTATTATGAGCTTTCAATTTACAAAAAAAAATCGCTTGCAGTTGTAATTTTTTTGCTTGCAGTTTTCCTGCGCATTAATCAAGATGTTTGTTTATGGAATTGAGATTTCGTTCATTTGTTTTCGGTTTTCATCTAGATAACTATTCTAGTTCTAAAATTGTATAATACTATTAAGCTTATAACAAAAATTTAAATATTGATACTTTTTCATGGAAGGTTCATTAAGGTTGTGTCCTAGAACATAAGATCCTATCATTACATCAAAAGTTATTCAGTGTTGTCCGTTTTTTTCTGGGGGGGGGGCGCACTGTGCCTCTAAAATTTATTGTATAACTTCTTTTTATTAATAAATTGTAGATGTAAGAATATTTCCAGAAATAATAAATTTTAATAACCATATTTCTTTCAAGTTTTGATCATTAATTGTGCATTTTAAGTCGTAATCCATAGAGTTTGCGTTAAACCGATCAATTAAGATTAAGTATTAATCAAGTTGACCTTTATTACACTTCAAGATTAATTTTTTTTTTGCTCTTTTGGTGCTCAATATATGCTGCCACCTACCACGCTTTTTGCAAAATATTTTATAGAGTGGTAGACAATTAAAAATTAAAACTGTCAAAATTTTGTGTAAATTTGCCAAAAATTTTAAAAACAACACCAAGAGAAAACTAGAACAAAGTGTCTTTGCATATTAAATTTTGAATAGTCTTCATTAAGTGGTGAGGAAAATAACTTTAAATTAAATTTACAAAACAAAGAAAGCATAAACTTAGCTACCACTAGAAAAAAAGTTTCCTAATAGCGTAGAATGTTGGCAGCCGTGTATATACATACCTTCCAACATATGAGGTTTGTGCGATATTTTTTTCCCAGAGGTAGCCAACTATTGCATAAGTTCATAAAACAAATGAAAAAAATTTAATACTTTTATCAGATTTTAAGATCCAGTCGTCTATCTGATTTTTAAAAAAATTGTTTAAATTATTTATATTGTAGTGGCTGTTTAATTCTTAAAATTTTAATCGATTAAAATATTAATTCATTGTATTCTCTACCACTATAAAAATTTCATGAATGCTATTAGATATAAGTAAATGGCGCCATAATAAAGCCACTATTTTTCCTCATTGTAAATTTAGCTTTTCTTTCTATATGTAAAATTTTTTTTTCTACAAAAATTACTTTTATTTGGCAAATACTTTTGTCGATTTTTTTTATTTATTATTTTTTTTTCTTGGGAACCCTATTTCTTGTTTCTGCCCTTTCCAACCCTCGGAACAATTGCTTTCGCAGTACCTCTTAGATTCCTTTGCAAATCAAGCTCGTTTCTTTCGCATATTGACTACATTTTAGTCTAACTTTATATGTCTGCTGGTATGAGTTCTAAAAACATGCAACACGAACTCCATGTGAAACCTTTGGTTTATAAGCATTTCATTCAATTTATATACATATGGTGATTTGTTTTATATTCATTTCAAAGCTATTGTAAAGTCACAATTGCAATAAATAACTCATAGAATATCCCTGTAAACAAAATTATTAATTTAAATGTTTGGAAACACAAGAGTTTTAAATCCTTTATTCGAACATAAACTGGTAAAAGGACTGAAAACCAAGGAATAAAAACTAAAGAAAAAAAAAGACAGTTTTTAGAGGTTAAAATGAAGGTAGTATACCAGAGTTAAAAGAAAATAAGGTTACATCAATAAACGTATTTCTGGCCTATCTTTGTTGATAAAAGGCATCTTTCTCCTTCGTTAATTATAAAGCATCATTAAAACTTTATTATTACGTTAAGAGCGTAAACTAATGAGCATAATTGAAAGAAAAATAAAGAACAGTTCGTTTGTTTACATTAACAATTCGCTTTTAGCCTATAATTTCTGCCCAATGCACAGCGCAGTAAATTCTAATTTTTCGTTGCCAACGCAAGAAAGAAACTTTTATCGGTGTTGTAACAATAAACAAATTAATGTTTTTCTTACGTAATTTATAATTGTTTATTTTTCTTATCTATTAATACTTTATTATTGTTGTAAAATTTCGATAATCAGTCACAAAAGTTGGTGTGCTTGTTTTAAAAGTTAGTGCATGCATTGTAGGGCGAAAGATTTCATTTTATGTTTACGTAAAATCTTCCCACATTATCCAATCAATTTCGTTGAAAGCGAAGATAACCCTACGTTATAGGTACTCTGTGCTTTCACCAAGATCGGGCACGATCTTGGTGAAAGCACCCTTTTGACTGTGTGGAGGCTTTCAGTTGTAGGAGGCATTGACTGTGCTCACTCTCTCAGATCCTCCCTACATTTGCTTATGAAAGAGGATATGAGGAAAACACGAAGCGGAATATGATAGTTCAAACTTAAACTTCTATAAGTTTAAAAAAAAGAGATATTTTATTGAATTTTGTATGCATGTTTTTGAAATATAATTTTTGTTTTTAGAATATCAAAGCTCATTAATACATTTTTTGCGAAAAAAAGTAAAATAATACCTTTAAACATAGCATTATATTTGGTTACTTTAGTAATTTTTGAATTTGTGTTACTTAAAAGATTTTTTTTCTTATTATTATTTACTGGATGTCTCTTTTAACACATTGCATGTGGGCAACTTTTCCGAAGAATATATTGAGACTAACATTTTAAAAAAGTGGTTGGCAAGATTTCATAAAAGCTGGAGCAAATTTGTCTCTATAACTACAACTTCAATTTTTAAAAAAAAACTACGACGCGCGTCAAAAACTACGACGCGCGTTTTTCAAAAAAAACTACGAATCATTTATGCTTGTGGTAGTCACGAATGGATAATTTCTTTGAAAAACAGAGCGGAAACGAAGTAGTTCAGCTACCACTTTTTAAACTTTTGTATGGATTGCAAAAATTTCAAAAACGTATTTTTATGCGACCCGTTTGCAATATGTTAAGTAACAAAATTAAGTTTGTTCGTTGTAGTGGAACTGGGCGTCTGAGGCATTACGGCCCTTTTCCCATTCATCCTGAAATTAGACTAAGAAACATACATGACAAAATTAAAGTTTGGTGAGCAAAATGGAAACAAAGTAAATTTCTGAATATTCTACTAAATGCGTGTGCATGAATCTTTTTATTGTGGTAGGTAAAACTTCGTTTTAAATGGCTTCACTTTAAATTAAAAAATTTTTTTTAAAAAACTGCTTTCTATAGCATAAAGTCACCACTTTATTTGCATTGATAACAACAAAAACCTTTCTTTGTTCGTTTTTATCTTTTTTGAACTCGAATTTTTTTTCCCTTCAACTAAATATTTTTGGGAAAAGAAAAAAAACAGAACCAAAAATGAAGTTAAGTTTATTATCATAAGTTTGACTAATAAGATAATTATTGTTATAAATAACCTGTAACTAATTAAATAAGGGGAATATTATAATTAGGTAGGCCTATTTAAACATTTATGAAAGAAATTATAGGTAAAATAAAATATTAAATGTAATTATTATTGTAGTACTTCTTTTTAAACATAATATGGAGAAAAAAATTAGTTCCAATGTAATATAATTAATAAAATTATAGAATAATTAAAAAAAATAATTCTTGTCTAGTTTCTAAAGAGAAATTTTAACGCATCTATTTAAACAATATTCTATGATTTGTAAGAGAATTAATGTAAAAAAAAATATATTTTAATTTTATATATAAGAAATATTTTTGAGGCATTTACTGTAACCGTGTGGCAAATATATTTTGTTATTTAAATAAGAAGAAGCCGACAAATATGAATGTTTTTATTGTTATTTTATCATATTGAATGGTCAATATTTTGAGAGCTAAGTTGATACGTCCCGTGAACCCATGTCTTTTTTGCTATGTTCACCAGATTTCAAAACTTTTGTTTTAGGGAAAACGTATCCTTATACGGTATTGAATAAAATTCTTTTCGCAACATATTATCCTGAATAATCAAAATAAAAGCGTGAAAATATACCCCAACACGTTTACGAGACACATGTTAATGTATCATTTTTTTTAATTGCACAATCTTTATCTCTTACAAAATTTAAAGTTTCATACGTTACGTAAATCAAGATGAAAATAAACTTTAGTTTTTATCTCATCCTTTTAAGAAGTATGAAGAACTTAAGATAAACAAGTTAATATTTAGCTGAATAGTTTGCTTTTTTATCAACGGGTGCACTTTTTTTGCGAAAAATAATATCTAGAAAATTCTATCTAAAATAAAAGTGCAAAATTTCAATAAGATCAGAGTTTAGTTTTTGATAAATTGTATCTGCAAATGATTGCAAAAATGGAGATTTTAGAAAACTCTTTTTTCGCTGCCACCAGATCGAACCTAGTGCGAAAAACTTCCAAAGATTCTTTCTCTCTCTATAGAATTTTTCTCTGTTTTCCGCATTTTAAATTACGATTTTTCAAAAAAAAAAATTTAAAATTTACAAGAAAAATATTTCATTAAAAAGAAAAGAGAAAGATATATTTTTTTTCTTCTCTTTTTTCTATTATAATATTTTTTGATGCAACTGAATGGTCTTTAGTAACTCGCTCAACTGAAGCCAGTTACTAAAAACTGATAATTTAAGTACTTGATTGTTTGAATGCATTTTTTTTAAATATAAAATTCGAATTTGCAATAATTTATTAATAATATAATTGTCTGTACTGAAAACTAAAATTATGAGAACGAGATTGGGGGGAAAAAAACTGAAGTGGCTGCTAATTTAAAAAAAAAATACACTGAATTTTAATGTTTGTCTCCAATTAGGTTTTTTTTTATA